GTGTTTAGCCAGAGTGAGACAATGAAGGAAACTATTTGTGTTTCGATACATACATTGTGTCATTATTTTCTCTTAGCATGACAGAATTTTGTTCCAGAGTTGACCTCAGCTGTCATGCTCTGAATCCTTACATTTGACACACAAGTGTTACTTTCTATCAAATGACACAGCCGCTCTTTGAGGGAGTCTCATTGAACCAAACACTTTCACATGCATGTGAATTACTCTGAAACAAGCAACATATTCGTTGTTCTGTCTGTTTGTGTATGTGAGGGTCAATTCATGAAGACTTGAGGCTGTCGTCAGCTCAGGCTAGTCCACACTTACACAGGTATTTTTAAACGTAGCCTTTTCTACACATTTGGACTTTTCCAGTCCCCTTCTGCAGGATTATCCACTTTTTCATGGCACATCTGTGCTCTCAGTAGTTTTCTTAATTGCAATTAAACAAATAGTTTACTCCTCATTTCGCATGATTTTGTAAGGATTTTAATTTCCTGCTCTTCCATTGGCCAAGAAAACTGCTCTGTCCAATCTCACTCACCAAAGACTGCACTTCCTGTAAACAAAACAGAAAAAGGCTGAGAAGAAATGTACACTTCTGCATGCAGTGAAGAAAATAGAAGCGACAGAGAGTAGTAAGATATAGCTGCGTGGATCGTACTGTTTGAGTGACAATCGTAGGAAAAAATGAGTTACTGCAGTATGAATTCAGACCAACAGTGAGCTAAAGGCGGGCCTGTCAAACGCTTATTTTGCTTACTGTATGTGAAGAGTAAGTGCTAGACCTTTGAAGTGACTAATCGTGCAAGCAAGAACAGGAGGAAAGAGCATGTACAGCACCCCCCCAACCCCCCTCGGAGATGTATCCTGCCTTGGCAAATGCCAAAAGGATCAACCAGATGCTGAAACATCTGTGAGTTTAATTCATTGACTGATAACTCCATATGGGGATTCTCCCTTGGTGATATGGGTGAGAAATAATTAATCCTTGTTTTATTCATTATTTTCACAGTGCTTCCTCCCTACAGTATGCTGCCTGTTGCGAAGGCAAACCCTGCACTTGTCGTCACATATGGCCACATTATGATAAAAAAAGCATGTATGATACCTTAATATATTATATGATAGTGGTATACTGTGCATTATTCAAAGCATTGTATGATACATCCAAGATCTGAATGGGAATGCAATGACTGATTTTTATTGTATCATCATAACTTTGCTAAAGATTGTCTAGGATACAATCGGTCTAAAGGAAGTCCTCTGTGATTGAATATGTAGCGATTGACAGTCTATGTCAAGTATAGTAGAAGACCCAGGGCATTTTTTCAAATCACACGTTTTAATGTCCCCATTAAGCCAGTTTGTGTAATATTTCAATCTCAACAGCAGTGCCCAAATGCATCATCTGGCCAAATGTAATCTAAATCAGCCCTGTGGGGCCTGAATTTCTCAAGCACCTGAGACATCGTGTTCTTCGTTATCATGAACAATGCCTGATTAATGTTCCCATTTGAATTCATTGTGTGGAGACAAATACATGTCATGCACAAGGGCAAAACTAAATGAGGGACTCACCAAGGGGGAAAAAATGGTTTGAACCTTGAAGTATCTAAATTAAGAATGTACAGTCCCACACAACAAGTGTTAGAATTTCACACTTTATCCAGTGTAACACATTTTCATTTCCAAGTTCCTTTAAAAAATGTACTCAAAAATGATTTTCATAAGGATCTAAATGAGATTAAAGTGCACAGTCATATCAGAGGATTGATTGCATATCGCCACTGGAGATATACAGGCACTTAAGTATTTAAGCTGCAACACACAGACTGTTTATTTGTTTCACTTTCTCCATAGACTTTACAGCACACAATGAAATAGGGTTGGTCTCTCTGATTGATTTGCAACTTGAAAAACTATTGTCATATTTATGATGAGATCATAACCCTGACTAAGAAAAAAACAATGTCAACTCATTGTATTGTTGCTGAATTGCAAACTTCCCTCTAGGTTGCGCTGACATCGGCCCAAGGTGGTACAAGAATGGATCCAACTCTCAATCAATTTGTGGCCTTGTGAGACCCAGAGTACTAGAAGTAGTCCTTTACTTCAATGTTGTTCCTATTGACGAGCCCTGTACTCAGAGGACACATTAGTGTATTTGGGTAGACAATAGATTAAAGCAATAAGGTGGAAGGGTTGATGAGCATGGATTGCTGAGTGTGTACAGGACACTGTGCAAAGTTTAAAGTGGCACCACGAGACTTGGTATTGGCAGTTACACAAAAAGACTGCGAGATAAACAGATAGATATTTGGAAAAAGGTTTGAAGTGTTGAAATGTAACCTTCATTAACACTCACCAGGCATACTACTCAAAAAGAGGAAAGGTATGGGACAACAGCAGTGTCTTTCCATCTGGTTGAGTAAAAAACACGTTATCCAGTGTAAACTGGGAGAGCACCTTTTGTCTCAGAGGCAAAAATGTGCCTTTTATAGTGCTTCTTTACATAGCTAATCCAAGGAAATGTCTTTGAGGCCGCTCATTCTTCCATGTCAGCCGGTCCACAGTGCAGGCAACAGGACGAAAACTGTACGGCTGTGAAAAAAGCTTGAAAAGGGAAATTGTCAACAAAAATAAAGCAGTTCAGGGAGAATGAATCAAAACATCCCTAGTCAGGTTGAGCACTAGTGGGCAACATCATGTGCTCGGTCAGAGATGTGAGTGGTCAGTCCAAATACATTATCTCTGCTCTCCTTTTGTGCAGTGCTAGAGATGTTATTATTGAAAGCAGCTGCCAGCTGTGCCAGCCCAAAAGGGAGAATCAGTCGGATGTTCAGCTTGATAATGTGAGCCAACTGTGCTCACCTTTATTTCCATAGAAGTCCAAAAGAAACATTTTCAAATTCTCTGACCCTTAAGGTTGCACCCTGTCATATGCTGAATTTAACAATTCACATAGTCAATTAAAATGAAAACCGTTTTTGTTTGTTTAGCCGTGAAGGCATTTGGGAAATGATGAAGCATATTTGCAATAAATATATATAAATATTTGCAAGTGAACATAGGGAGTAAAAAAACCTTTCTAATGAATTAGCATTCTAATCTCTGCAGCCACATTGAAGGCCTTTGTGGATGTTGTTTATTTCCTGACTTTTGATAGACCCAGCAGAAACAAAAATACAAAAGATTTTTATTTAGTGATCCACACACAACGATTTGTGTTATTCTCTATGGCTGAGAAATTAAATAAAATATGATTAATACTACATTTATCACAGTAACTACGATGCCATGAAGACATAATTCTATAATTCGATAGTTATTATTAGAATATACTTATTTATATCATTATGCTACAATCTTAGTCTTATGGGCTTAAAAGTTCTGTCAAGCTGCACCAGAGATGTATGAATTCCAAAATCTTTAAAAAAAAGTACAGGAGTGAGTACAGGAGGGGATTTTTTAAAACCCTTATGGTTGAATTTGATATGAGTATGAGAACAGGGACTGTAAACTTTAATAGGCAAAGATTTGTCCCACAATAAAACACAGATATTGTCCCAAGGCATTATGTCCAAAAGCAATCTCTCAGAGAACATATACTTTCCTCTTAAACATGTTTATCAAATGTGGAAGACATCTAAAACCAGTCTGACCCTAGCTATGGGAAGCCTATATGTTTTCACTGTGCATGAAGAAAACACTATTGCAAAAGTATTGTGATTGCTTATTTGAGCTAATATTGAATAAAATGTTGTTCTATCGAATAAGCAGCATCATTCTCCATAAACAGCCCCCTCCCTCCCTGTCTCTTATGTAAGTACCTCTCTTTCTGCGGCTGTTCCTTGGCTCTCTTCTTATCAGACGCGTTCAGCTGTCGTTGGAGCGTCCATAGGGACTGTCAGTGTACCGGGCTTCTTGGCAATAGTCAAAGCCTTTAATTTTCACTACTTTCCAATATTTAAAATATCTTTTCACTCTAGTGATTTCCCCTCCATCTTTCCCCGCATCTTTGCACAGATGAACCGTGACAAAAATAAACACTAACAATATACAGACCAATAGATTTTCAAAGACTTTTGGGGGGAAATCATTTCTCCTATCTCTCCTTGTTGTGATTTCCACCATACTTAGATTATTATGTAATTGAGTTTGTGTGTATTGGTGTGAGGGTTTTGGGGCAGATTTGTAAACCTGTAAAATAAAGCAAACAATAATTATATATAATTATACGTGGATTATTTACACTAATTAGTCTTTCCTTGGTTTATTTAGTAAATGTTTTATCAAGGAGGTTAGCATAACAGAGACTAAAGGGAAGTAAGAAAAAGACAAAGATTTGTCAGCCATAGCATTTAAGCTAAATGCTAACATCAGCATGCTTACATAGTCATAGCGACAATGGTAACATGCTAATGTCAAGCAGTTATATTGTTAACAATGGTCTGCATTTAGTTGAGTGTGTTCATATGCTTACTTATGCTAATTAGCAACGATCAGAAGGCATATTACAAGTTAATGTGGATGTCATTTGCCCATTAGATGGGTTTGGTCTAATGGCGCATTCCATTGCAGGGCCTCGCTCGGCTTAGTACGGTATAGTTAGGCCTTGTTAGGCCTTTTTAGGACTGGCTCACTTTATGCTGCGTTTCCATTACAGTTTAGTAGCTGGGGCAGTAACTATAGTAACGCAGTGTAGGCGGAGCCGCCACATCATCTTCAATGCGAACCACAGAAAAATAACATCGACCGTTAGCTGTTAGCACTCAAGCTCACAGCTCCTCATATCTGTTCATAAACTAGACAAAAGTTAAACAAGTACAAACCACAGACTGTCTGTGTCATGGCGAATACAGTCGCTGGTTTATTTATGTCTGTATAGGCCGTTGTTTTGAGTGTGGACAGTCGGAGCATATACTGCGTTAGCTTAGCCGATCTCCATTTAGAAAAAAACGCTATTCGCCTGCCGTCTGTCTGCAGTCTTGTCAAAGCATGAATTCATGGTTTTTACTAAGCGGTATCAGTATGTTGTTACTTCGGGATCATTTTGAAATGTGTATTACAATTAAATCAGGGTCAAATATGTTCATTTTGTTTTAGTTGTAGCCAGGGCCGGCCCTGACCAATTAGCTGCCCTAGGCAAGATTTTAGCTGGCGCCCCCCCCAATGCAGACACTTAGACTTACTATGACTTGCGCGTGCATACCAAAAACAAAAACAGAAAGATATGGACGAAAGATGTGTTTTTCCTATCCATTTGAACATTATTTAAGTGTTTAAGCGTTATTTAATTTTAATATTGAAGTTAAAAGCATCAATCTGGTGCACTTTGAGAGCAACATTCGGAAATCTATGGATACATCTCTCAACACCCATATGAAACAGAACTGTAAGCAGATTTTCTTTTTCTTTATGGATATTTTAAAAATCATTCCCCTTTCAAACTGTATTCTTGTTTATTAATAACACATTTTTTGTACTGTCATATAGTATTTTATACCTGTTTTTCACCTATTCTCTTATTTTTGTATAACTATAATGATCATATAAAGGTGTGCCTTTACCTCTATGAGCTGAGGTTATCAGAGCCTCTCAGTCTTTCAGGAGAGAGCTCTCTAAAGCTCTCCCCCCCGCGGATTTAAAAAAAAAAAATTTTCGGCGCCCCCTATGGGTTGATGCGCCCTTAGCATTCACCTATACTGCCTATGCCGAGGGCCGGCCCTGGTTGTAGCCCCCCTGCGATTCTCTCTCTAGTTTAGCATACTCAGCCCGACTCAGCCTGGTTGTTGGCCCGCTAAGAACCTCGATTTTATGGGACCAGAAAAACTGTGAAATAGTACCCGCTAGCCGGTACTACGCTAAGTGGAAACGCAACCAAAAACGCTTAAACCGCGCTCCGCGCTGTAGTGGAAAAGCGCCATAAAAGGGGGCGGCTAATGGGTCATTGTTCCCTTCATTTGTAGCCCCCCCTTTATGCCCCATGCCCAATTTGGCATTGCAGCAAGTTTGATGTATTTGCAAGATGGTCTCTTCTTCTAATCCTAAAGTTCAAAATCCTGGATTTTGTTGATGATTATCAAGTAAAACGTGTCATTAATTTATTGATGAACTTTGAGAAACAGCTATTTCAAAATAGAACTCTGATAACTGATACCTGAACCCCAAAAGTGATTCAAAAACATTGCAGTTAAACACAATTTGTCCCTTTCACCCTGTTCTGATTGTATTGCATTAAACATCATGTATTTACTGATACAGTAAATACATTATGTTTTTTTACTCAAAGTATATTGTTGATGTTAGATGCTTCAATGTAGCGACAGAACTCCAATGTCATGTTCATGTCGAATTAGATGTTCTCACATAAGCTGCCAACTGCGATAAAAAAACTCATTCCACATCAACTTCTTACTGGTAATTACAAGTAGCATTGTGAGACTTTCAGCAGGCTCTGATGTCTCTGGAAAGCATCACAAAATGTGGGAGGTTGTCACAACGCATTCCCACCACTGCTGACAACTGAGCTTAAATGTTTACATTCCCATACAAGAGCCCTTTTTCAGAAAACAGCACTTTCACATTACACCTTTGATTGCCAGAGATGCAGAAACTGACGGCTGACACAATCGAATGTGTGAGAATATTAAAAAAAAGCTTTGAGTCAAAATGCCATGCTATTTATTTGATCAAAGCTTTTTATTTATGTGTAAATGCAGTGTTTGTGTTACTGTATGTTGTGATAAGACAATTATTTGTGATATTCTGTGTGCAACTGTTTGATTTGTTTTGCCCTTTTAATGTGTGCTGGAGAGAAGCACTCAAAGCTTAACGTTTAAAATAGCTGAAATAAGAACTCATAAAGAATGGTTATTCCCATTGGCTGATATCTACTAACTTATCATTACCTTATGATGCATTAATATAGTGCATTATGGTCAGTTCTACAAAACTCATTATTATCAACTATATAATCCCTGGTTAATTCATGTTCAGGTCCAGATGTTTACTTTACAACCATTTTAGTGTGTCACATTGTAAAGTTTTACCAGGAAAGCTCATTAATATTCTGTCTCTAATTTTCTTGGAGCAGTGTTCCAGGAGGACGGGGGGGGGTCTATGACTATCTCTGTGCCTCAGCGCACACTGGACCCGGAGGGACGGACCCATTAACAGGGATCTGTTTATTCTGCCTCACCTCAATCTCAGCGCATACCTCCTGACTAATGTCAGCCATGTTTAACAACCACCTGCCTTATCGCTTGTACACACAGACAGAAGGCACCAACAGTGAAATCAATCAAGCACAGGACTTGTGTCAATTGCTGCAGAAAATTGGAAATAAGACATTAAGAATACACTGAAAGGTAGGGATGTGATACATCGAGTGCATCTAAGAAGGATTTGGTTATTTGAGAATAGATTCATATTTCATCTATTATCTATCTACAGAACCAACAAAGAATTATGTCTTTGTTGTCTATGCTTTGTAGACAGGTTGCAATTTCTTTAGAAATTCTATTGATGCAGTTACAAGGGTCAACCCGCCTTGTAGAAATGACTACTATACGTATATATACTACTAAACAACCCCTTACTACTTAAACATAAATGATAGACAAATCTGTCAAACCACAAAATGCTGATACTGTCAGTAAAATATTAAGAGTAACATTTGTAGGTATTAACAGCACTTATAGGGCTAGACCTAGTCCCGGGGAGCTTGCTAGTGGCTGGTCCAGGAAGCCATCTAGCTCAGAGTTCCAGGAAAACGAAATCCTCATGTTTGTTTTGATGGTAGAGTGCTACCAAATCAGTGAAATTCAACCAAATGGCAGTTTCCTACTTTCAACATTTTATATTTTTGATCCAAGATGACCAGCAAAATTGATTTGAGAAGCATCTTTATGAGGCATCTTTGAGAAAAGCGGCCTCACGACCACCATTTCAACCCTGTTGAACCCGTCCACCTTTCAACCCTGTTTCCTATGCAACTTCAGGAGACAGGGTTGAAAGGTGGACAATCAAGCCAATCAATTAAGTAATTTTGACACTATGACAAAAAAAAGTTATACATATTTTTCATAGAGGAAAACACATTTGTGCAAAAATAATAATATTGATGGCTGAATACCATTTAGCTGCTTACATTTTAAGAGTCCTATGTGCATGTTGGTTCTGTCATCTTGTCGAGATTACTGGGACACTTCAATATTAACATTATTTGCAACACCTGTAACAGCTGAATACTGCTGTGAAAAGGGTCTGTTCACTTACAGGCTGATAGAAGGTAACCTGATGCCAGCACCAAAAGGTGTTTTTTTCAGCATATGTCAGATACTGACTGCTTGCAAAAGCTGTCTGTCCAACTGGATTTCATGGCTTTTCAATGTAACAGGAATCAAGGCCTGAGCAATGCTGTCACCATATTGTTTTGCTATGTGTGAGCCAGGTATTTACAGTAAATCAAAGGTTCATATCATATCATATGTTCCTGTCCTGTGAAAAAAGCAATTGGGGGTTCTGAAATGTTATCCTATTCCCTACCCAATGTTCACTAGTTCACTTCATTCAAAATGGCCCAAACATGCTGTTGGGAGTCATGGACAGGGCTGTGGCTATAAGACATTCAATTTTTCCTGGTTTTACAACTGATATTAAAGTCTTACTGTTTATCTGGAAGAGAAAAAATTAGCTTCAAGCTGAAATGAGACGTTCCTAGTTTAACTATAACATAATTATAGCAATAAACGTTGCTGCCCTTCATGCATGAAAAATGTACAAGTTCTCACCCTACTTATTTGTGAATACTGTAAGATATAACTTACTTTCTGGAAGTGGTCCACTATGTCTTTAGATGTTAAGGCACTGATTGTTGTCCCAAAAATAGGATGTTGTTAACCATATGACGCATGTTTCAGGGACTCTTTTACATTCATTATCTCACTACATGTCAAACACAGCCGGAAGCAGCAGCAAAGAAGCCATTAGGCCTTATCTATTATTGAACAGTTGAAGGCATTTTAATGGCTGGAAATCGCTGACACCAAGATTCTTTCATAGTCGTATGATTAACAGTCTACCCCTGCTTTAAAATAAAAAATAAAAACACATGCACACCCTGGGCAGAACTGTTTTGTTTACATTTTGGCATTCTATACACCAAAAGCAGTCAGCGGTCTGCTTTAATCTCTTCTCCCTGTTGTTCTCTGTTGTGAGTAGCGTAGTTAGAGTTGCCGTGTGACAACTCTGTCGACCCTCTGGATATTTCTATTCCATGCACCACAGTAGTGACATTATTATTTCATGTGGATAAAGACATTGCGAAGATAGAGATGGCTGCCCTTTCACCAATAGCTGAGTATGCGATGCAGTGCTGCTGCCTGCTCTAATATGCGTCTGTGGGTTCACTTTGTAAATGTGACCATTCAGAGGAAACGTTCAGACCTCTATCAGAAGCCGTATATATCCTGACCATTTAGGCTGACAATCGGTGGCCCTTTCAGAGAGTCAGAAGCAGAGCCACACAGTACAGATTATCTTGTTGTGTGTTGTGAAATTCTTCTCCAAGAGCCAAAACAAGTCGGAAAGGTAAGCATTTTTAATTAGTCTTTTTTAAATGACAACTGACCGACCATGTTAACTCCTTCTGCTGAAGAAGTTAATTTAATGGCTCAGTACAAATCACATTTAACATTTTAATTATGTTTTTTATGCCCTTGAAGTCATTACTTCCTTGGCAACATTCAGAAATAACGATTTACTACTTTGTTTCTTAGTCATTGCTGAATGGATTTTTATATTTTTCTTTTTTCACAGGGAAAATTAGCTGTGCTTATGTAAAGGTGAAGTATATGAGAAAGGTTATTTTCTTACCTAACAACATATTAGGTGATAGGTAATATTCTGACTCCCCAGTGCTAAAATTGTAAACTCAACTAAGCATTTAATACAAATGTCATTCAGTTTATTTTCCTTTTCTGATAACAAATTGTATTTTGTATACTTGAGCTGTCAATCTCTTCATGATATTACATTCATAAGTTCTAAGGTTCTGTAAGAGCAGCATGGCGTAACACTGAAGGAGCCTAGGCCGGTTACAGTACATAAACTTTAATGCAGAGATAGCACCTAAGGTCTCCTGTGAAACTAATGAGAAGGCAATACTAAAGGCTCTGTGAAAGGCATGCTAACAGAGCTGACTGGTGTAAGGTGAGAGCTAATCAGAGCCTTTCCATGCTCTGACAACCCTGCACCTCCAACAATTACAATGCTGAGGATTAGTGAGTTGTACAGAAACAGACACTATGTCATACTGCAATCATTAAATGATGGTTCCTCTTGGTTGCTTCTGCCAAAACCAACATGGTGCATTTGTATGCAAATGCAGGTTAGTAGCAGTCCTGCTTCGGGCATAATTGACATCATCTGCGGCTGAATGGTAATATTTGATATCATGTAGCAAGAATTTATAGCATCCGTTTCATTGAGAAAAGCTAAGATTATGTACCAATCGACACATTGATAACGCTCTGAAGTTGTACATCATGAAGATTATCTATATAATAATGTTGTTTTCTAATGCATCAGCAATTAGCTTCAAAGTTTCAGAGAGAGTATAAATGTTCTTTGATAGGCGGCAAACGTGTGTATGTGTGTGAGTTTGTGTGTGTAAAATGGGTGAGCAGAGCCAAAAAAAACGACATTAACCTGGTGTGGATTTACTGCTCAGGTTGGTACTCAGTAAATCTACAGTATATTTACATGGTTCCCATTTAGGCACCAGTGTGCTGTGTTGACTCTCCAAGACCAAACCACCATGAGGTTTAGCCTCATCCATTAATGAGGTGCCTCCGAGATCAATTCTTATTGATTGTAGGCCTCCATTACTAGCTTGTAAGTCATTACTGGTTCACCATTATTCCTTAATTATGTTGAAGGCAGAGCACTGATGGTGCGGCTCCCTCTCTAGTACAGTACACATCTGACGAGGTACTAATCATCCTTTCAAACACAAACATGGCCCGGGGTGCTACCGGCTCTACTGTTGCAGTGGTTTGCTAATGCATTCATTAGCAAACAACAGGGATTTATTTGTTTAAGGCAATGCATAATGCTTAGAGAATGGAAGTAGGAAATATTTGCATTTACTGAGAGTTAAATATTTTTAGGTGACAAATGAAGATACACACACACAAACGCAATAGTCCATAAAAAGCATTTTTCTTTACTTCTACAAAATGTCACCTTTGCAATCGACACAGTACTTTCATTGACCTTTGAGAATGTTTGTATGAAAAGTATTAGCTTTTCATGCAGAGGAGGGTTTGGATATGGTATTATTTAAAATTCTGGTTTTACCTGTTTACAGAATCAGAAAATACAGCAATTCAGTTCACCACTGGACTGGTTGCCTCACATGTATCAGTGAATCATCTACTACTTTTGTAAGGACATGTTTTTTTTGCCACACTGACAAATGGATCCTGTTGAAAATAAACAAAAATCTCAGTTATACTTAACATCAAATCAGAGCAGCTCAGTATCCACATTCATTCATTAAAAACAACTTTTAAGTTTGTTAACCAGTTCTACTCAATATACAGTTTGCTTTTTTGACAACTGCCACTAGATTCTTCAGTCTATTGGCACTGTGGCTCCAGTGCACATGCAGTAGCTGTACACAGTGAATGGCAGGTAGCAGGTTTCACCATCACTGTGGCCTTGATAAAAGCTGAGTACTCCTGCAGCCCGAGGCGCTTTCTCTGCTTGCTGTGGTGTGACAGCAGGATGTCAACGCTGATCTTTGGTGGTTCTGACCTTACCACTCCAACTTGATTGAGCCCGAAAAAGTCGCACTTCACCTGACCTGGTTTTTATCACCTTGTATTATTCGGCACAGGCTGGTTATTGTTATCCAAATTTCCATGCTTTCTAGACTCTCTGAGAGTGTACGATGATAAAATAGAGTGTGCATTTTCTGGACAAAAGATAACACATGACACAATGTTCCTGAAAACCATACTCCATCAATCTCCCTTTCACATTTGGGACTCTTTCTCTCCGGGCAGCTTTTAGAGCACAATAGGTTGGTTTCACTTGACGTCACACCGCTGCGTTCCTTTGGCGCGAAATTCCATTGGAGGTCAGGAAGTAATTTTCTACAGAGGATCTAGCTGCTGTTACCATTGTGAAAATACCGGTGTGTTGTGTAGTTTACGGTTGTTCCAATCGATCCGGCCGAGAGAAAAACAAGAGGTTTTACCGAGTGCCGAAGGTTTAAAGCTGAGCAATTTAAGAAGCTAACCGAAGAACGCCGGAAAAAATGGCTTTCAAACCTACATCTGCGGTCGGGAGGAGCAGAGTCGTCTAATGCACGTGTCTGCAGCGACCACTTCATCAGAGGTATTAGCTAACTTGGTTTTTGTGGCTTTGTTTATGTATTATTGGGTTGTGGTTAAATGCTTATGTACTTAGTAATACTGATCATGTTTAAGTTACCTGTATTCTAATATGGACTTTGTTGGGACTTTTTAGGGTGCCCTAGCGCTTTGGGTGACGTTGAGTCGGTAGACTGGGCTCCCACTGTTAGCCTCGGTTACCACACAACAAGTAAGCCCAGATCAGAGGCATCTCTTCGACGAGAGCAGAGGATGGAGCTCAAGGAAGACCAACAAAGACAATCAGAATGTGCAGAGGCTTTGTTGGATCTCCTGCAGACAACCGAGAGCCCAGAACCGACGCAACCCCCGTCTGACAGCCCACAACCAGAGGACACCAGTGGGATATTAAATGACCAACAAGGTAAATTAACCACCAGCATTATTATTAAACATTACAAATGTGATTGTCAGAAAATCAATGCAAACTTTGAATTAGGTTTAGAAAATAGAGTACTAACTTGAGAATCTGTAATAATTGGAACAGAGAACTTGCATGTCTGTAAAAAGGTTGTCAAAAAGATAACTTCACAACAATTCACATTCATATTTGACTATTTTAAATAACTAATTATGCATGCTACTGCTATATTGTATGCAGATGCAGGATGCCAGACTGATTTAACGATGGAGGACATCGAGAGGATGGAGGATGTTCTGAGACAGAACACAACAGAGCTGGGAGATCTTCGGACAAAGGCACTGGACACAAAGTTCAACCAGGAGTCCTTTGAGAACAACGAAGAGAAGACAAAGTTTTACACCGGGCTCCCCAACTTCTTAGTTTTACTTCAGGTTTTTCAACTGTGCGAGCCCTACATCACCTGTGGCCCTATGTCTGTGCTCTCCAAATTTGAACAGTTCATTTTAGTTTTGCTGAGGCTGAGACTAAATCTCCCTCTGAAAGATTTGGCTTTCAGGTTCAACATCTCTCTCTCCACTGCTTCTAGAATTTGGCATAAGTTAATTGACATACTTCTTGAGAGTACAGAATTTATAATTGAGGGGCCAGAGCGACATGTACTTCAAGCTACAATGCCAATGGGATTCAGACAGGCATTTGGATGTAGAGTTGCTGTGATTGTTGACTGTTTTGAAGTTTTTATTGAGAGGCCCTCTAATTTACTAGCTAGAGCACAAACATGGTCCAACTACAAGCATCACCATACTGTTAAGTTTCTGTATTGGTGTTGCTCCCCAAGGCTATGTCACTTACATATCTTCTGAGACTGCCAAGGCACACGAGGGGGAGTAAAGAGTACTGGGAGGGGCGAAACACGGTTTAAGCACGTAAGATGCTGGTGAGAGTGGTACGATGTGTTAGCCTTCGTCGAGTCGCACTCTCTTAAAGAATATAAAGGTTTTTTTAACCGGTCAAAGAAAAGAATGATAAAGTTGTAGAGAGTTTTTACTTGCATCAACCAGAAACTCGCACTACGTGGTTCAAAGGAAGGCTTCGAGTAAAAGTAGGAGAGCGTTAAATTTTTTATTATATATTTTCGGGTGCGGGTGTAAGTAGGGTAAAGAAGGGTGAAATTTTGCAGTCCAAACTAACAGGTAGGGTGCTCATGATAATTTAAAAAAAAAATCAGCAACTAAGCAAGAAGTCTCAATATTTAATACCCACAATAAACCGCGGGAGATACCAGAGGTTTGACTTTTACTGACCCACACGGATTAAGTGGTTTCTGTCTAACTTGGACGTGGTTTTAGACTACTACAATACGTTAGTGTAAACACTACTTAATACCTGTAAAGAAAGTATTCTGGGGCGGAAAAATACGCTCATCCAAACTAGTACCCTGTCCGTTATAATAACGATTTGTTACGAATACAAGTCTACCATTACACAGACTGGGAAGGTGGCTAGCGACACATTTCGCTTAAACCACAACTTTTTTATTTTATCTTTAAAATTTCACTTATAAAGTGAAAATTTAACCTAATTGTTATTTTTACATGCCTCGAATCCTAAGGGTTCTCCTAATAAACATCTCGTCGGCAGGAGGGTCTATCACAGTTTTCAAGTCAGTAAGGCCTCATACCACTGAAAACATTTACATAAGGTTTACCATAAAAACTATCCCACCGCGATAGCCTCGTGCAACCGTTTTAAAGATTGGGTAACTGAGGTCTTACAAAATTAAAAAATCTTGGCCAGGACCGCAGGCACCGTTTTAATATGAGTCAAAAACTCGTAAATTATATTTGCCGGAGTTTTCTTCTTTCTACCGCTGTTTTTATTATTATTCTTAACCACGTATTGTTTATCCAAGGAGCGTGAGCACGATCCTGTGGCAACCCCGAGGATCGTGACGGCACGAGCCCGGGATTATTATATATGGTGTTTATTGTTATCCAAGGAGCGTGAAGCACGATTCCTGAGGGTAACCCAGATGGCGAGGCGACGGGCATCGGGATCTGATGTATGTTCGAAATCTTAAAATGCAGTTATAGTGTTCCGGATGCTTGGCACCTGCTTTGGTAGTAAGTCTCTGTACTTGCCTTTATCTTTGACAGTTCGATTGGATGATTAATATCGGTTTGTAGATACTAACATCAGGGCGCTGGATCATTTGGTGCAAAGTGATGGTTAAAGTCAGTTGTTGGTGTTTATTCAGTAGCCCAGTTGTTTTTCTTTAATATAAACGAGACCTAGTCTATCGCGCATGATGTACGGATAGGTAAATTATGGCGCAGGCGATTCCTATCGTCAATATATGGGTGGACGGCACTGACGCTGGCTAGTCTGTATGTTCGACTTGAGGATGTTATCGACGCCAACGCGTCTTACTACATGCGTTATCGAACCAAAAGTAGTGCACTGACAGATAGCTGCGGCGTTTTAAGGTCACCTCAAGTCCTTCACTTTTGCGTTAGTAGTAGCTTGCGTTCCTTAGGTACCTCCTGTGGCTGATACAGTAGTTTGTTAATTTTACTTTGAGATGTGTGTGGCGTCTATAGCACTTTTTTAGTGTTGTGTGAGTGTTACTTCATCGTCGTGGTCTGTAATCTAGTGTACGGCTTACGAAAAATCCCATTTCCAGTTTACATTGTATCAATAAATTCAATTGTCAATGTTCTCTACTGATTCGGATTAAAGACCATCGCGTCGATCGATATCTGAAGAGGTAGGACGAATTTGAATCTTTTATAAGTTACTTTTGTATAGAAATTCAAACTCACGTTCATTGAAGTTAGAGTTGTTGAGATTTGCAAGTTATATAAGTTACACCAAACATCAATATAATATGTTTTGTATTGTAAAGCTAACACTACCATCGGCGCCCGTATCGGACGTTTACGATATTTATGAATCTGAATGGATATCGACGTGTGCTCGAATTGCAAGACAGAACATCCGATTGAATTGACAATGTCTAGTAAAGGGGCTTAAGTGAATTACCGTATATACTAAGTTATTTAGGCAAGTGAATTTCCCGACTACAACACGCAAACCCAGTTGTAGTCGGATTGCAAACCAATTAATCTTGTAACGATCAAACCAATCGATTTCGAAGTTGGATGATTCGATCAGGTCGTTAAACAATTACACTCAGGTGACTGTCTGTCTGTTGACGTTTTTGAAGTTGTTGGGTCGTTGCTCCAAAGTGATATGTAGGAATGTAAAATTTGTACATATTGCGCCTATTATTTCTGAAACAAGTTATTATTTACAAGATGTTGATGTGAAATATAAATAGAAATGAAAATAAAGAAACTAACAACTTTACTAAAAATCTAAATTGCAATACGGGAGGTACAAATGTGTAAACCCACCAACCTTTATTGGGACTCAGTAAAAAAACCAGGAATTTACTTATGTATCTAAAGTCAGTAAAATAAAACTCTCTGTTGTAAATAAGTCAATAGACATAAAACGTACAACGTTTATTATGTATAAGAATCCTATAAGAAATGTACAATACGACATATATCTTTCCCCGGAGTTGAATTTGACAATTAAAGTTACTTTCGAATTTTTTTACTCGAAATACAATGAAATTTATCAAACTAAACAGAGAAATTAGTCAACAAACTAGATAGTTACCAAATTCGAGACTGATTGAATTGAGAGAAATGCAAAGAGGAAGAAGTAGGTCAGAATAATACAGGGATATTGCCTTCCGGCAGTACCGGTAACGCTCCGCCTACTTGACACACCGCTATCGTCGTCGCCTGGCCCCAAACCGTACGTCCGAGTCTACCAGTGGTGTCTGAAGGTCTTCTAGAAGGGGTACCCTCTATTCGGACATATAACCCGACCGTCCTGACCGGTGACTACAAGTCTGTCACACTCACACATCTGGAGGTGGAACAAGAGAGTTTCACCGATTTGTCAACACTTGTGGCCCATGATACTACTGTCCTAACTAAATGGTGAGATATTTCGATGTTGAGAGCTAGATCTGATTCATTCTGAAAGAGAAATCTCCTTCGGACCCTCACAGTTCATGTTATGATGTGGATATTCAAATAGGTTGTTGTTTTCACAACATCAACTTATCATAATGATACGTAAGATTATTTATCCCTCTTTTCAATAATTCTTTTAGACGATAGGTATCGAAACTTTATTCAATCTAAACACTACCTGACTTAAGTTACATTTTAGACTCCTAACTACCTGAGAAACGGAACACACATCTAGGGTCTCCGAGAATTTAAGTCTGACTTGGACATGCTCGACTTCCTCCCAGGCGGTCTAGTTCGGGTTTGGAAGTACTATTCGTACCAAGGTTGGACAACATGTTCTTCTCCACTCACGTGACTTGAATCATTATCTGGGTACAGGTGTAAATTCGACGAATGTCATCCGTGTTATGGACGTATTTACCATTTATGCAGTACGGAGTAGAGTCCAAACCCGGTATGATGTAGCTCGGACACTAGCGGCCCTTATCTAGGTTTTGGAGGCTTGGTAAGTAGACGAGGAACCTAGACTAACCGACGGGGTACCACTGTCTTCTGAAACAACACCGCCTTCAAACACCAAGAGAGGAACAACGTAATAATAAACGTGTCACGGTCGAGAAATTGGACGTAATGTCGTGGAAGTATAAGTGGACTGGTGTGAGTGATCTCCTTCATCCCGACACAACTATAATAACGATAACATTTTTTCTACAAATGACTTTCTAATTACTATGATTCTTCTGACTTATTATGTACCAAAGAATAAATTGTAAATGTTATTGGGAGTTACCGGTATGTACCCTCGCAGTGGTCTGGTTAACAGTAGAGATCTTATAACAACTTACTTAATTCGGACTTACATACTACTTTCAAACATATAACTCAATCCGATGTGTGTTAGACTGTTTGCTTGTTTTTCTACAAATGACTTTTCTAATTTACTATGACTTATTATGTACCAAGAATAAATGTTCTGATGTCGAGGTACTGAATGAGGTTACCCTGCTGTCTGTGACTGTCTAATCTGTTCCGTGTCGTTTATTGGGGTTAGAACAGTAATTACGATCACGGAGTGGACCAAAACAATCGTACACGAGATACCCGTGTCGGGACGAAACGTCTTAGACTATAAAAGAAGACTGATTAGGATACTGAGAAGCTGTACTTATGCGGTGTAATCGATAAAAAGAAACAGAGAAGGTGGAGCATACGACTGTCGACTGAAAAAGGGGACCACTTACGTCCGTAGAAATCACTTCGTGATTTTAGGGGTGTGATAGCGGTTATAGCTTGGTGCCAGACGATCCTCGTTATAGAGGGTCCATTGTCCAAAAAATCCTCGGGTGAGACATAACACTAGACAAATAGGGATTGAGAAGGANAACAAAACAGGAAGATTAAATGTGGTCTCTTAAACATAAGATCTCTAGCAATATCAATATTATAATCTGATATTAAATCATTTACCAGTATTGCTTTAGATGCTAGAGATCTTATGTTTAAGAGACCACATTTAATCTTCCTGTTTTGTTGCACTGTAGTAGTTGTTACATTTACTTTTATTAGGTTATTATGTATGACACCTCTATTAGGTTTTACCTTAAATTGTCCTTGGGCAGACACACACACCGTTAATATTGGGTATTTTATTGGGTTCGGGATTCCTATGGATGACTGCCTAGGAGAGAGCGCAGAGAAGCGTGTAAGACTGCGACTCTGCCTCCTGGTCTCAACTCCAGTTTGTCATGGATTAAGTCCACAAAGC